CCCCCACCTGGCCAGGTAGCCCCGTGCCCGGCTCTGCAGGAGGACAATCTTTCGGCGGAGGGAGCGGAAGCGCCTCTTGATGAAGAAGGTGCGAGCGTAGCGCTGGAGGGTGAGCGCGGCCAGGTGATGGGCACGGGCTCGCTTGCTCTCCAGCGCCTGGTACAGCTGCTCCTTCAGGAAGAGCTGGGAGCGGGGGACGACGCCGTGAGACCCCCGCCTTAGCCACCCTCCCCCAGGGCATCCCTGGAGCAGAGCCCTCTGCTCGGGACGGTACCTTGCTGACACCGACGTAGTACATGCTGGGGTTGACGGGGCAGAGGTTCCTCAGCATCTCCACGCAGTTGGACCCGTTTGGAATGACATTGGACCACATGTCGACGAGGCAGCGGTACCTGGGTGAGACCGTGACACCATCACCGTGTGGGGCTCCACTGGGACACCGGCACGGACCCTCCCCATGGTGATTAGCACCGTGCCTGGGAAAGCAGCTTCTCCCGGTGCTGTGCACCACAGTGGGGGCTCCCAGCTCCCACTGTGGGGGCCTCCCAGGTCAATCACTGCCCCCCAAAACACCCACAAGCTTTGTGGCCTGGGACAGTGGTACCCAACCCACAGCCCCCAGTGCACCTGTCGATGAAGACGAGGAAGGGGATGCGGATGGGGAAGCCCTCCTTGCGGATGCGGATGGTCTCCAGGATCCCTGAGTACCGCAGCTGGCTGCTAACCACGTCAGCCTCGAAGAGCCCCGGCTCCTGGGGGTGAGATGGGGAGAAGCCTCGGTGGCTGTGTGGGTAGACTGCTGCCCACCACACTCCCACCGTGCTCCCCGTGCCAGTGAGGGCAGGCACCATCGGCATCGCCCTGAGTAGGAAAGCCCCAAGCCGGCTCTCACCTTCTTGTTGTTGGGTTTGAGGCAGCGCACGAAGAAGGGGTTGCACCTGCATTGGAGAGATGCCATCGGCCATGGGCGACAGGGGACAAAACCATCCTGGCCACCCTGGGCTATGACTCTGCTCCCACCAGTCTGGAGCATGGCCTGTCTGCCTGCCCTGCCCACCCTGACCTCTCCATCTTCTCCACCAGCTCCAGGAGCGACTGCTGGAACCGAGCAGCCACGGTGGGGGCCTTGTACCGCCGTGTTCTGGTGCTGCTCCTCCTGATCAGGCTCCTCTGCCGGGCCACCACTTGGGCATGACCAAAGAAGAGGTTGGCTACCACCTTGGGGATATGCAAAGGGTTAGGGAGGAGGAAGGTGACCAGGATGGTGCACCTTTCCTGGCTCCTCTTCCCAGCCCCGCCACTGCCTGGTTGCTTATCCCTGAGTGAGTCACACCCCCTATTTGCAGCTGGGTTCCCCAGATGGGGATGGGGAAGCACAAAAGCAGCCCACGTGCCCATTTGTGCTGGTGCTTGAGGGGTCAAAGCACAGAGGACGCTGTGGGAAGAGGGCACAGGGAGGAGCTGGAGGCATCCTCTGCTCCTGGTTCCCCTTGGCTTCACCTGCCATGGGGCCGCAGGCTTGGGGACATGAAAAGTGGTATGTATGGAAGGGGTATCCATGCTCGCTGTCTCCCCAGTGCCACAAAGCCAGGGCTGGGCAGGGCCTTACCTTGGTCCTACTGCTGATGAAAAGGTCCAGCACATCCTGGCGGACCTGGTCATAGTTTTTATCCAAAAACTTGTGAACCTGGCAAATAGCAAAACCTCGTGGTGAGGAGCCTGGTGGCATGGGGGGGTGGGGGGAAGGAGCACCTGGATGGGATGTGGAGCCCCCCGCTGGACCCCCTGGGCTGCCCCTCACCCCCTGGTGAGGGATCAACTCCATAAACCTCCTCTTTAACCCTTTCCACCCTCCTACTGCCGCACACCTGGTAGGTCACCTTCCCTGCATAGTGCTTGATGGTGAACTCAGGCAGTGGCATTTTCGGCTTGGTGTACAGTGGGTTCATCCCATGGTGGTAGTGACACTTCTGGAGGAACGTGTGGTCGGTGGCCTGGGGACAGACACAAGGGTGAGACATGGCTTGGGCTGTTCAACAGGCCTGGGGGTG